GTATTGCATTAAGTACATGAGCAATATTTTGTCCAAATAAAGTCCTTCTAATAAAAGACTTAAACTATAAAGCATGTTTTTCTTTAAAAAAATAATAAAACATCTTTTTCTAACAGGAAATATTGTCTCTGACTACATTTCTTTCTGATCTTTGCATTGCCAWCGTTGTGACTCTTCCATTTAATTTCTGGATCTAAATTTGATTTTAATCCCACTTAATGATGCTCTGGCATTTTTTTTTTAGAGCGAAGGCATCTCTGTGTGATTCTCTGAACTCTACATGAGCGGATTATCACAGCAGTGGGGAGACCTTATCCTGTCTACCTGCTCAGAGATCGACGAGGACAGGAAAGGAAGGAAAGCTCCTAGGGTTAAGATGAGAGCTTGGGAAGAAATTGAAAAAGAAAGTATTGTAGAAATAACAGGACCAACAAAAAGAAAAAATAAAAGACCACCGGAAAATGTCAGAGAGMAGATGTGTAAAAATGAAGAATTAAACCTCTTGAAACATTACGTAGGAAAATGGAGCACAGAAGCAGTTCTGTGCTCTCCTCTGTATTGCCAGTTTTAGGTCACAGAATATAAAACTGGAACAGGAGGTGAAAAAAATAAGTTACAAAAGCAGCAGCTTTAGGCACAAGAAGTTAAAAGTGCACATATTTGTAATACTGAGTAACATGCTCTGCTTAATTATTTAAAACTTTGAAGTATATTTTTATCAATAAGTATATTTTTTAAAGGTGAAAGAGCAAGATGAAGAGCTGAAAAACTCAAAGAGGTTATAAAGGAGCTAACAAAACACCAAACTGAGTGGAACAACGAGCAGTACACAATCAGATACTTACAGACTGTCCGGGCTCTCCTGCCTCTCCTGGGCTGCCTTGGAAACCTTGAGGGCCCTAAAATGTGGAGAGGAGAGAAAAAAGAAATAATAAAAAATAAGAAGACACAAACTGCAGAAACTATGATTTCAGCAATGAATTACTGGTTAGCAAAAACATTACTTTTCCTGCAACAAATTCCACTTTGCTTTGACAGTTATAAGTTGTTTTTATATTCTTCTGATCTGATTCTGATCACTTTCTTTTAATTTAGTTACACATTTACAACCAACACTCATTGTGCTTTTTAATGTGCTTTTTTATTGTTTTTCTATTGTTGTGGATATGTAGGTATATGTATATATAGATACATGCTGATATATAGGCATATTTTAGCTAATTTTATCCTGTTACTCTTTATTCTCTTCTTTTTCTTTTAATGTGTATTTGCACTACTGTGGGAGTGGCTCTGATCTCGTAATGCACATGTGTAATGACAATAAAGGCTTTCTATTCAATTCTGTTCTATTTTATCGTCTTAAAGTAAATGAGTAATAATAGTGTCACATTCTTTTTTGCATATTTGTTTTAACTCAACAATAAACCAAAGAAGAAGAAAAAATGCATCACCAATTACATCTGTGAATAAAATGTCCACATTACTCTTAATTTAAAATTTAAATAAATATAATTAGAAAATGTACGTCTGGAAACACAGTCCAGAAAAAAAATAATTCATTTATTTATCACAATAAGTGTCAGTGTTTGTCAAAAATCKTTTTTGATTGATACAATATTGCTGTTCTTTGCAGGTGATGCCTCAGATTTGGAGTCTGTTTTATGTCAGACGCCCTTCCTGATGCAGCCTGAGCTCCGACCTGCAGCCTCAGGATTAKCAGACCGACCACACAAARGCTYCCGCAGCCCCCTAAATGAGCATGAGTTAGTGTGAATCAATCATCAAAGGCAGGACAGGCGACATRAAAAGCAGCTCTTTAATTTAAAGGTTGCAGGAAGGCTGGCTGCATGTAAAGAGTGGTTACAGGTTGCGGTGTGTTTGTGTCGGGTGTGACCCCAGTAAGGAAGTGAGAAAAGGTAAATTGTCAGGTGCTCATCATTGTGTCTGGGTTGTGGCACAGGAAAACGCCTCAGATCCTGCAGCTGGAAGACGGAAYTATTCTTTACGTGCCGCCTGCAGGCGACACCGAGAGAGGCCCYGGTGTAAACTTTTACCTGTGGTGGCTGCGACACCTAATCCTTCCTGGAGTTTAAAGCGCAGTGGTCAAATAAAGCTTTGTAATATTTAACAACACTAGAGGGGACAGACYGTGCTGCTGCAAGCCTCTGATAATTATTGGATTTATCCTGTCGGTGCGCTCAGATCGTGTGTTAGATGTAAAGAAGGTGCTTACAGGTGCTCCTGAGGGGCCAGGTGGTCCTCTGGGTCCCATAGGGCCCTGAGAGGAAGAGGAGAAGAAAGCAGAGGCAGAAAATCAGGATAAAGACAGATAACTTCATCGTTCATCAAGGCAAACATAAACATCAGAACTAAATCAGAGTTTACTTTTGACCGTTCCATTTAAGCAGCAAAATCMACTTATTTATTTATGTTTTTCAGTCAGAAGCTCTAAACCACATCACCTGCTTTGCCTCAAAGCTACGTACTGTAATACTCAACAGCTTTACTTGTCAAAAACATAAATCTGTGGGAATTCCTCAGTGGCTTTTAGAACTTCTCTGTGTTCCATCCCTCCTCTTACTTATTTTAAACACCCTTTTTTATTTTTAGCTTCTTTTTTCCCCCTACATTTTTTCTGCAGTTCAAAAGTCGTGAGCTCTATTGTTGTACTCCCAGGAGAGATTTGGTAAATCTGACAAAACTTCCTGTATTTTGACAAAAGAACCTTAAATTCTGATGTTAGTTTTGCAAAGTTTCAGTCTTGAACCCAGAAGAGGGTAACATTTTTTCTGCTGACTGCTTTCAGACTGAAACCTAATCTGCTCAGTGAGAGCTTCTGGCTGGACTCACACGCCAAAGAAAGTTTGTACCTCACCTTCACCAGAAGAGAAAATGAGAGAAATTAGAGTAAAGAGTGAGAGACTAAAGTTTCTCTTAAACACACCAAAAAATAAATAAATAAAAAACACAAAGAAAATCTGCTCTAAAATGGAAGCAGATTTTTTCTCATCTCCCCAAAATCCAAAATAGTTTTTCAACAACAAAGCAGAAAAATCTGGATTTCGATTGCTTGTTTCAGATCTTTTTCAAGTTAAAAACATCTCCCTCTCATTAGACCTGCTTTTTCATGAACCCTCAACCCAAAAAAATGAGGGAATCCAGCCAAAGAAAATGTCACAGCAGGGTACAGTGGTCCTCAGAAACGAATGAAAGTCACCTTTCAGTGGGTGTGGCGAGCTTCCACCAGCTCATCAATGAGACTCTGTGTGTGTGTAAAATGTTGGAATGTGTGTGTGTGTGTGCATGCAAACATTTCAGTAAAAGCACCGTTAGAGTGTGTTGAATATATGTTGGAGYAAATGATTGAAGGTCTCACGTTGGACTTGATATAAAACTGCTGCTCTCCCCTGCAGCAGGCAGACAAAGTAAACTTGGGATGACTTCAGAAGGATGTTTAGTGTTGAGCTCTCAGACAGACATGTGGTGGGACCATCATTAGGACTGATGTGTCTCCAGTCATCTCCTCCTTCTCATCCAGGTGTCTCAAACCTCTGCTCCATGGCTTTTAAATGATTCCCAGAATGCTCCTCTGTCCACTGCTGATCAACCACCACCACCACCACCATCCACATTCATCCATTTTTGTTGACTCAAAACGTTATCACTTGTTACTTTCTGGACGTTTCATTAAAACCTGTCCTATAGTTCATGATATATTTTGCTAACAGACAGACAGGGTTGACTCCAATAGCTTATGCATTCAGAGTATGAGTTTAGCTCAGTATATATAAAACTGACTGACTCACTTAATGGTTGCTAAAATATGTTGGCTGTGGCAGCCATTTTAAATTGGATTTGCTCTAAAAAGTTCATTTGAAATTGTAGATCCAGTCATTGCTTTCTGAGTTTCATTAAAACTCATCTACTAATTCTCAAGATAGACTTATGCACAGAAAAAAAAAACTGAAACACAGGGGATTGCAGGATTGCTTGCCTTTTGCCCTTCAGCAATAAGCAAAATCAAAAACAAAAAAAATGTGGATGATGGTTGTTGTTTCTTCTGATCCTTGATGAAATCCAGAAAGAAGATCAATATTCAATTTTCAACAAGTAATAACCACGTGGTCCTTGTGCGGATTTTATTTATGTTCCTTTTGGTTTACGTTCCGATCTAGTTGCAAAGAAACAGGAGTCTGGTGCTGTCATTTTGCCGAACTTCAATCTCGCTCCTCAGTTCAGAAGCCTCGTCCTTCACACATGTTTTTTGTATGACCACTGCAGACTGTCAAAGAAGGACACGGGAGGGGCAGCAGGTCTCAGAACGGCGTTCTCACCATTGGTCCTTGCATCACACCCATCTGAGCGCCGCCGGCCTTCTCGTCAAAACCACCAGCCATCTGAGCAGCAAAGTTCTGGAACAGTCAAAAGACAAAACATGGTGAGAATTTCTTCACAAATAAAGGTTGTTTTATGTCAGTTTGTACAATCTTAGTAGAGGTTTTAAGATGCTCTGTCTGACTTTTGGCTTAAAAACAACTAAAAAAAACTAAAGATGAAAGCCTGAGAAACTCAATAAATTAAAGACATGCTCCACATTGGACCACGTTTAACAATCAGCGCTCTCTCTTGTTGTATTTAAATATTTATCTTGGCACTAAAGTGTTTTCCCTGAGCTGACACATGACATTATTTTGGCACGAGATAGAATCAGCTTTTAGGATCCTGTCAGCTGCAGAGCATTATGTCAGTCCTGATCCAGACAAGGAAGAGACAGAGGGCATGTGAAAACTTTTTACAAAGGCGTTTTTTTTTGCACGTTCCCCAAAAAGCTTCTTCCCGTCCTCTTCTTCGGTCTGTCATAGCACCTCATGCCCTTCAACCTTCCCTCCCTCTTGTCACTCCTCCTCCTCTCTTCTTTTCTCCTAGAAAGAATGCGAGGCATTCAGTCTATTTTCCCTCAGCATCCATGCTGTTGAATCTCTGTCTCCTCCCATCCCCTGCAGTTTCACACATCTTTTGTGTTCTTTGCTCTCTTCCCCCACTTTTTTTTTCATCCTCATCATCCCAACCAGTCAGATTTAATCCCGGCCTTGAATCTGTGTCAACCAGGCAGTTCTTATGTACGCAGTGAACCCAAGCTCACTACCCCTCCAAACCGTAGGATACATACCCCACCAAGGCCGGGGGGTCCGTTAGGTCCGGGAGGGCCAGGGGGTCCGGGGTTTCCAGGGGTGCCAGGTTCACCATCTCTGCCACGAGGACCAGGGCTTCCCTTAAGACGAAAGATAAAATTTAAAAAAGTCCTAAAAACTAATAAAAATGTCTAGATTATAATCTAAAACAGAGCTTAAATTAACTATTTTAATCGTCTTATGGCTGGTCAGTTAGTGTTTTGTTGGGAAATTGAAATAAATTTTAAGAATAAAGAAATTGTTAAGTTAAAAAAAGGAACTTTAAAAACACTGGGAGCAAAATCACAAGTAAAGAAGAGCTTCATTAAAAAAATCTACAATAAATCGTTTTTGTATTTTTAAGCCTGTGGGCCAATATTGAAGCTCAGGAGCAGTTTAAATAAATCATTACACAGTTATTGGCAGAGAAAACACAGCTGACAGCAGCGTAAAGCTCATTTGAACCTGTTCCAAACTGCACTGACTGTTTAACATGAAAATAATGTGTCTTTTTATAACCTTCATGGTGCAAAAAATGCATTAAAACCAAACAACAGCAAACTTTTATCGGTTTAAAAAAATGAAAATTGGCTTTATTTCATAAAATTGTTGCGTMGAGTTAAAAAAAATCTCTCAGTGTATCATTACAGGTTGTGTATGCTGAACATTTTTGGGGTCCAATCAGACAGTGCATACCTGTGTGCATGTGGAGACAAATTACCCTGCAAYCAGATCCAAACCTAAGAATGTATCAAACATCTAAAACAGTGCTCAGCTTCTGCTGGCCAAAAACTAAATCTGCCTCGTGTTTAAATCTGCATAAACAAGATAAACTCCCCGCCCGCGTCCGTGATCAGATCCGTGTTGTTCCATTAATGACACCATCAAAGCCGTTCCCACACCGGCTGAGCGCGAGGCCTCTGAGAGAAGCCTGCGTTTATATTCTGAGCCTCCGACAGCCTCACATCTGTTAAACAACCCAGACCGCAGAGCCTAATGGGAACGACACATGACTGGTTAGACTGTGACGCTCGATGAAAGGCTGCCATTATCCAAACCTGTATGCTACAACACCACCGCCTCCCAAACCCACCCTCCAGAACCTGCAGCTATCAGATTCAATAGGACATACCGTACTTGTTAACCGAGCGGATTATATGGCTCTAGTCTTCTAAGGGTCAACGGGAGAAAATCACAACAAGGAAAATTAATGATTTAATTTTGACTCTGTAAATCCAACCTTCTCTCCTTTTTCTCCTCTCGGTCCACGAGGTCCTTGCTCTCCTGGTGGGCCCTGGGGGAACAGAAGAAGAGGCTCAGTAACTTTAATAAATATCTTTAAATATGTAATACAAAGAAGCAGCTGAACCATTTAAAGTCTGTTGCTGTTACATCAATTTCTTAAATGGCTTTCTATCAAACAGAAAGTTGTAAAAGTCCTCTAGTAGAAGTTATATGAAATACATTTACAGGCAGAAAATGGTGCATACCATTGGGCCAGATGGTCCTCTTGGTCCTACAACCTATGTATGAAAAAAAGAAGAATCCACTAAATGCCTTCATTTATCAAATGTATTTCTACACAAGGTTTAAATAAAAAATGATCTTTCCTCCATCGGAGCAGACTTGTTAATTACCAGTGTCTTTGGGCAAATCATAACCAGAAACGTACAGTAAACAATGCTCTTTTATTTCCTGCTATGAACTTGTGATTCTCAGAAGAGCAAAGTGTTTCCAGGTGCAGCAGCAGCAGCAGCAGCAGCAGCAGCAGCAGCAGCAGCAACAGCAGCAGCAGCAGCAGCAGTGAGTTTACTCTCCCTCTGCTGTTTTCTGATAGCCTGGTCTTAGTGGGCAACATGGAAACCTCATGGTGCTTGACTGTCTTCCTCCTGAGTGGGTTACTTACCTCCGTTTTTGTCTTTTTCCTCTCCAAATTTATTTTAAGCTCATGCTAACAGAGCTTTATATTCATTTGGTTGTTATATAATCTAGTTTTGATAAGATTAAAGTCAGAAATATCAAGGAGCTGAAACCATTCGGGTATTTTGAGGTGTAAATTTGACACTAGTTTCATATCAGACAATATTTCTACCAGAAGATAAACATTAAAAACGAATGTGGTAAAACAATTCCATTATTCTGATAATGAAATCTTAAAATGGCCAATACTGTATTTCTACATCTCCCTTCATTATTAAGAAGGGTTGTGAACTAAGTTTTCATCCAAGCTCTTGAATTCTTGAAGGTGGCTAACAAGTTGTTTCCAAAATCACATGAAGTGTCAGCTTACATCTGTAATGTCTCCAGGTTCACCCTTTTGACCCTGATGAAGAAAAAAGCAGGAAAAACTTCAATGAAACAGACAAGACAGATYTTTTCTTAGATTATCTGTTAGTGCTCAGTCATCCTTTGAAACTGTAAGAAACTTGATGCTAAAATGGCATTCTTGATATTAAAAAGTTGGCAGAATATGTCCTCTGCAGTGTTATTTACCAGATAAACATGACACTCATGAACAGGAAATTACTATTATTCTTCTGACAAGTCTTTTTCACATCAAAGACTCTAAATCCATAAACTACAGGGTCTTTGTGCAGCCCTGAAAGGAGTCTGGGGCAGTCCTGCATATAATTGCTGAGGAGGTCGACTTCATAGACACACACAGTCATCAGAGTCATGCAGACGCATAAAATTGTTCCAAATATCTTAGAAGTCTCACCTTAGCTCCATGTCCTCCTGTTTGGTGTCGGTGCAAGATTGTAYGTAGAAACAAAACACAGTTAGTGAACAAATTACACACAAAAACAAGCAACTGAGTAGGGTAAAACAGCCTTTTGTTGAAGTAAACTAAGTCTTTTTGTTTTCTAAATCAGGCTTTTCCAAATACCACCACCACATCTTTGTGCTGTTATAAATAGAACCCATTAGGATAAAAGCAGTGTTTAACTCACCATCTGAGCCTAAAAGCAAAATCACAATGAGTGCATTAAAGAAAGAGAACGACAGAAAGCAAAAAGGCCAATTAAGACAAACAGAAAATCTCACGTTCTGCAGGACAGAGTTGGATTTTACAGTGTTTTTAGGGTTATTACTATTTAATTATTATTATTATCATTTGCATTTAGCTAGTTTAACTACAGGCTGAGAAAACTTTAGATATGTAAGTTTAGCAATGTTATATTTTAAATGTAGTGATTTTAGAAACAGGGCTGGTTAATGAAATAATTATTTGCCTACATCTTGTAACAAGATAAATCTAGTTAGGACTGTCAAATCTTACAGTTGACAACAGGATCAGGCAAAAACATTAATTTAAACAAATAATTGAAGTTTATAATATTTGCACTGAGTTATTTTAGTCAGTATAATTAGGTACTCAGTTTCAATAGCCAGCCCTATTTGTATCTCGTGTTAAAAGCACCAAAGGTTGCCTTTAAAATGAGAACATTTTCCAGCAGTAAGCATGCATTACAAACAGTGACGCCTCTGATTTCATTGATGCTCCTCAGCTCATTTTATTTACATTTCCAAATCAACTAGAGTTGGGATACTGGGGTCTTTGTCTATCAGGAAGCCATGGCACTTCGGCGGGGGGAATGAGCCACAGCCYAAGTGTTGAATAGCTTCCTTTAAATGATCTGAACTCACGGTGGAGAGTCAGGCATTTTTTTTTCTTTTTCTTGCCATCAGATCTGCAGAACTCCACAGAGAGGATATAGAGTAGAAATGTGAGGCCATGTCTGCTCGGCTGAGGTATTTCCTTAATCACTCCCACATGTTTTCATGATACTCATGGAAGGAGAGTATTTAAACAAGATGYGTGCCAAGGTGCACCGGCGGTGGAAAAAACGCCGGGTGAGATTAGCATTTCAGTGAAATTTGGTCAGAAGTGTCACTGTTGTTGTGTGAATCTCATCATTTGTTTGCTTTGGGGATAGAAAACTGCATTCAGATCAAAGACTGATATGAGTTGAACAGCAGCTGCCCAGACTTTGATTTGAACCAAATGTGCTGTTTTTTTTCTCTCTCCCCAAAATAAACATCATCCTGTGCAGTAATTTATTTATGAAAAGTATGAGATAAATAAATTACAACCAGAAGTTGTAGGTGGGTCAGCAGCACAGATGGGGCAACACTCTCCGAATGGGATTTCAGGTTTGGGGCAGTCTTTTAGCTCCTCGCAGACAATTTCATCACACAGGATTGTCCCAGTGTCGCACACACAGATGCGACAAGGCTCTGGTTTCCATATATCCTGGTTGCCATAAGTCTGTCCGTCTTGTACACAGCTAAAAGCATCCTCCTCTGTGTTCGAAGTCACAGCAAGGGGCACACAGAGGACCACACAGTTAGGATTAAGCATCATCGTATGGTACACAACTCATCTGTAACATGCATTTACTGAAAGACCCTGTCAATCTTGAAAAATGAAAAATGCAGAATATACATTTTCTTAGCCTGGAACAAACATGAAGTGTAAAATTGTGGCAAAAAAAGTAACAAAGCTTAAACACATTCTCTTGTTTATGCTTTTTCAACCAAATCATCTGGCTCAGAATGAAAACAGGTTTTTACTGATGATATATTTTTTCTTAGAAAAAATATATCCATCCATCCATCCATTTTCTGTAAGACGCATTGACAGCAGTTGAATCATCAAAAAGTCTGATAAAAAAGTTGCTCATACTGCTTGTGTAACATTTCACCCAGTATTTTAACTGATTATACTCTAATGTATTTTCTTGAAAAGATGCATGAGAAAATGAGTGCCATTTTTGTTTAAAAATAAAAACAATATGTTTTACAAAAACCTTTAAAGCTGCACCTTCTCATGGCCACTCCGCCAAGTCTAAAAATTAATTCCTCACATGCAATGTCTTCAGTGACCACATGGTGGCAGTGTATCACCACAGAATCCAGGTCAAGAAGCAAGAGCTAAAAATAAATAAATAAATAAAAAGAAAAAAAAAACTTCCAAAAATTTCAAAGAATCCTCTATTTGGACATCATTTGCACAGATTCTTTGACATTTTAAAATAGAATTCGTTTACATTGTGGAGACAAACCAACATGCAGTGTGAGAGACAGACTTTGCATTCAGTTAATAAAATATTTTGTTTTGTTTTCACACACAGCCTGATACAAAGCACAATGTCAAGGAGGTAGGTCACATCTGAAAGCAGCTACTGTATATCGCGTAAATTACATCCATCAAGAAATCTGATAATAGCTATYTCTCAATGAATTTTCCAGTCTGGCTGAAACAGAGGGCCTAACACCTGCAGAGGGAAATGCTCTGAGTCCTTGGACCTGTGCAGACGGGTGAGAGCAGCTGATCCTGTAAAGGAAAGGCCTAAAGGTACAGACCACTGAGAGGGCAAGAGGAGAGGGAGCAAGTACAGTAGTTATATTTAACTTTGATTTTTTTTTTAAAAAAGCTCAGGTCTAGGCAACCTTGCGGACCTTACAGCAAAGAATGGGGTCTTTCTGGTAGGAGACAGAGTGGACAATTCACTGACTGTGTCCTTGTATAAACATGGGGTACATTTTGAACCTCATAGTGGGGCCATAACCATGTCTGATGCCAGTTCAAACACATTGAAGAGAAGACAACTGCAAGCTTTCAGYCACATTCCTGGCAGATTTGATGTTTGGTTTTACATGCCTTGGGTGGACTATCAAAGACCTGCACCTGTCATTTCACTAACACATACAAACAATTTGTCTTAAAACAGCTGTTTTAGGACAACGCATCCTATAGCTGCTCCTATATCTATTTAAGAACCGAGCATGCTTTTAGTGACTGATGCTGATTGGAAAGTCTCTTCATCTGAGCTGTTTCTCAGGTGAATCAAACAAAAGYTTGTAAAACAAACCAACCTGTTACTTTGAAGCATTAAAGTCAGATCAGTTTTTACAGTTTTATAAAACTTTTAGGCATCTATTCTGCTTGAATTATGTGAATCAGAAATTAGAGACCTTTTAACTGATTAATAAAGGTTCAAGGCCAGTGAGGCTACTGTGATGAGGTCACAATAAAACCTATTTATCCCCCCAGCCCCCCACCCACACACACAAAAAAACCTCCAAAGAAAATTCTTTCTCCAGTTGGGAAAGAAGGGCTTGCTTTATATCCAAGTTCCTGTGTCTCTGAGAGGGAAACCTGAAACTTCAAATTACTTTGGCACAACTACGTATTTCCCCCTCTTTTTAAATTTTATTCCATTGGGAAAATGCACCTTTCATTTAAAAGGTTGAATTGTGCAGTGAAATTTCTTTGCCTCTCAGAAATCAGGCTATATATAAAGGCTTTTTTTTAAACTTATTTCCATCCATATATGCCTCTCTCTCTTTACTGTCAGAAATTATCTGCAATCAATAAGATAGAAATATTGAAATCATGTAGTTTTTGCTTCTAGAGACCTTTAAAACATGCCTTTTGTGAAATTTAAAAAAACAATGTTGACAAAGATTTCTACTTTACTGAAATGAAAACTTTAAAGAACCCTTTTAGCTAAACGGAAAGCGTCACTGTTGCCAGTCAAAAACATCAAAATGAGAAGTTTGAAAGGCATGRCTTGTACATTTTAACGACCTGTTTGCTTCAACAAGCTAAGATTTGCTTGGYTGCCCTCTGACAGTGATGGAATGTGAACACTTTTCACCAAAAGCCCTTGAGCCTGGCCACCTTTCACTTTTTGCCCYTCCCTTCCCCCTTCCACTCATCTATATTAAGTGAATCTGCACTTTAAAAGGCTGTCAAGGRCCTCAACGCACCCACAGGTGTCAGGCGTTTCAATTTCAAGAAAGAGATGGAAGACGGGTAGGAAAATGCCTCGGGCTGCAGGAATCTAGGGAAAAAAAATCAATCTTGTGGTTCGTTCACAGTTTAAAACTGAAGGTGAAAAACTTTTGGCGAAACAAGTAAAAAGAAATTCTATCAAATAAACCACAAACCCCAMTTTTTTTGCGCAAATATATCAATATCTTTATCACTCATTTGCGCGGCCATGACTGGGATATGCTGAGTTGTATCACAAATTTAAGTATTTCAAATTAATGATACTCAGGCTATCATTAGTTTGACAAATTTTTCCWGAATAAAGCATCCAAACATTCCAAAATGATCTGTGCGTAAAAGTTGCATCACTCCAGGCTGTGCGTAAAGTTAAACTGACATCAGAGAAAACTTTGTGCACACTGTGCCAAGTTACTTTTTCTTCTTTAGAGAATGAAAATAATCACTTACGGTCATAATCCTGACATCTTACAACGGCTAATAGACAAACTTGAGTTGCTGCAAGTAGCAGTACAGTCCTTGAATCCAGCAAGCTGAACATGTCTAAATATTAGACATGCACGGCCCTTTGGGAGATGAAAAGGTGCGAGGGGAGCGAAGGCTTCTCTCAGTCTTTAGTGATTTATGTTCCCAGTTACAGAAGCCGGACCATTTGATATTCYCCCAACCCCAAAAGAGTCGATGGGGAGAATCCAGTGGCAAGACCCGGACCTGCAGCACAAACTCAGCACCAACCGCTTCAGGCCAGGCGCTGTAGTTTTATGACCCCGCTGCCTTCAATGAATCTTCGTTTATTCCCCCCAAGTATCAGCCCGGCCCCCTTACCCCCTGTCAGGCTGAAACCCGATCCCCTGATTCCCTCCCATTCTGTCTCCCAGGTTCCTTTATTCCAGTCCCAGACCACTCCTCTCCCCACGTGCTGAAATAAGCCTAAACATACCGGAGCGGTTCTTTATCCCCACTTTGGGATTTCCATCCCCTTTTAACCCCACACCTCGTTCAGAGTCAGTCTGTCAGAATCTCTTTGTCACCCAGAAAAATGCATTTTCTTCTGCTATTTTATCGATGAGTAAATCTTTTTTATAAGGTTAAAAACTGCCTGTTGGAAATCTGCTCATGATCCTTCTATCTGATCTCCTCCAGTCCGTTCAATGTTGTAAAACAATAAATCAGTATGACAATGAAAAACCCCMTAAACCCATGGAGACAAACCTAACAATGAAAAATGTTATCAGTTGTTGCCCTGAATTAACCTTTTGTTCAACCTGCAAGCTGGCGTTAAAAACGACAGTGATGGAAGTCGTACCACATCCTTTTAATTGAGCAGATTTAATCAGATTTTAAGACCTGATGAATATTTTGTCTCGTCATGTTCAGAGATCTGCATCCTCATCAATGCACCAAATGAGGAAACATCCTCAAGGCTGAGGACAGCTGTCCAACTTGGGCTAAAATGATGTTACATTGATGTTATTCGGTCAGTGTGACCTTGCTTGAGAATTAAGACTTGGAGCGCACAGATTGTCACAGTTTCCTAACTAAACTGTCACAATTGACTTGCTTTTAGTGGCTACTAGACATTTGTTAATAACAGAAGACAGTTGTGTCATTTACACAAAGGTTTCAGCTCTACACAGGTTGTGACCTGTGAGCTTTGACTTTTGACCCTCCAACACTTTACTGGAGCCAAGAGCAGCTGGTGTGTTCTGAGCATGCAGAGGTAGTTTTATTCTCTGACCCACAGCTGTTCAAGGTGAATTACTGCTGTCCGGTAGGTCAGTGAATTGGCCGATAATTAAATGTGCTTATAGACAACAATCAGCTATTGAACCCTCACAAAACAGATCAAATCATTGATAAACAACCAGGGAATTACAAATTAATCTTAGCTGCAAGTTTCGACAGTAGGCTAACTGGTGCGATTCCTTTTTGCGCTCAAAACACACTTTAAATTCTTGCCTTTTCACTTTAAACAGATTTTTAAATGCATTTGAATTCCTGCATTTTGTTGAATGCTTCCTCTTCTCCACAACATTTTTTAAAATAGAACAACTTTGTTATTTTCAAACATATTTTTTGGGGATTTCATCCGAACAAATTGCAGCCTGACTGTGTAACTTCTTATCCTTCTCATATTGTTCTGCTTTTATTTTGGCTGTCGTGGTGGCTGTGAACCCTGTGCAACCCAGGGATCAAAGGCGGTACATCACTAAACTGTCAATTATCTCTTCATAGGGTGGAGACCTYAGAAAAAAAATGCAACAGCGTCTCGTTTAGTTGCTGTCGTCAAGTGTACATTTTCAAGCATATAAAAAGTTTTACATGAGCAAAATGGGAAGCTTTATGTCCCCGGACAGAAATGTGTGCAGTAATATGTGTACATACTTTATGTTTCATTAAAAGCCCAAATGCCTTATTCAGTAAGTTTTTCTGAAGAAGATCCCCCTGATACAAAGGGTCCACTGTTGCTGTCTGAAAGGATTGATATTACCTGCTCCACTTGTCTGTGCCCAAGTGACTTAAATATCAAGATTTGTTGAAAGTCAGTTATCAGAAGACAGTGCTTTATTTCAGATCTGCTGCAGTTGGGTTTTAATTCCTCAAAGAGCTGTCTGCCCTGAACAATGTGATGAATTGAGGGCTTTACAGAGATTTAGAACATTTGAGAAAACAAAATACACAAGATCACCTTTTCTCAGGATCAAGAATCATTTCAGCAAAGAGAAACTGTGTCCCAGTAAACATTTCAAATATGTACAGTAAATCTAATAGAAAAATACACCTGCAAAAGATGTGTTGTGCTGTGAAAAAGTTAAGCTACTTAAAAAAGGCAAGAAATGGTTGCAACTAGCTGGGAAGTATAAAAGCTTCGAAGCAGTTTAGGAATGAAGTCTGTCTGGAAAGAGAATCAGAAAGTCTGGGAAAAAAAGAAAAGCAAGGAGAAAAAAAGAGATGGGGATGGATAGACAATGAAAGGAGGTGCCSCAAAGTCAAAAAACGAGAAAGAGAGTAAGCGTGAAGGTGGGTGGGAAAAGTGGAATGCAGAGGCAAGGAGAGGAGGAGACAAGTGAAAAGGTGGGACTTAGCGAGTGGGAAGGAGCGCAAACACAGAGAGCTTTAACTGAAGCCATGTGAGTTTGCTGCAGAAACAACAAAAAGRCAAAACCCTCACTAACTGGGCTGGCACTGTGAGATGACCTTTAGGCATAATAACATCCCCTCTAATAGACACATCCTGAACCCACCTTGTGCCTTGTTACACATTTTAACCTCATATTAATGAACATTTAATTGATTTTTCCAGATTTCTGAAATATTACTGTTTTTCTAATAGGATTTTAAATGAATAAAGCAAAAGCTACTGTTTCTCTTGGAAAGTGTAACATCAGACCATTGCTCATTCTGCAGCTCTGCAGGAAGTAATCATTACACTGTGAGTGTATTTGGGGCTGAGGACTTCTGCTAATGAGGAACCGAATCACCCAGTTCAAGAATGTGTCTCTAAATGACCAAAAAAACAAAACAAAACAAACAAATAAATAAATAAATAAAAAGAGGCAGTTTTTTAGGATCTTCCTTACACTAATTCTGACATTTTAGAGACTTTGTTGAAAAAAGATCTTCCCCAAACTTTTTCTGAACTTCCAAGCACAGCATTCGAGCCACAGATTCTTCAATAAAAGCAAACTCTGCAGTCTTGTCTCAGAACTTGAGTGTTTATTTATGGAGCTTGATAAGAGGCTGGGAACTTGTGTTCAAATGTGTTTCCTTCTTGACCAAATAAACTGCATCAGCTAAACAAAGCGGTTTATTGATATTTGGACTTTGATGTCGAAACAATGCACTCAGAGTTGGTTTAATTAGTTTTTCTTGTTTGTTTGGTGATGTTTTGTTGCAGACATGGTGCAGAAAGTTGCTTTCTTTCTATCAGGGAATTAACATTTTGAAGTTTTTTTGTAACAAGCTAAAAATGTCTCACTTTGGTTTGAACGGAGAAAAAAAATGCACAGATTATTTAAAAATAATTTCTCCAACTTTTTCTCCCTCTTTATAAAAACAATGGCACAAAAATAACATGCATTGTGAGATATCTACCACCTGCTGCTGAAAGTAAAGAAACAATATTTTTTTGAACGTATATAGTGTTCCTTTGTGTTTGCAGAGTTAGCAAAATATCTCATAAACCACTGGATGGATTTTTGTAAGCATTGGATGTTCYTTTACAGCTGTTAGAACCCAATTCAAGATGGTCACCAAACTGAAACCTTAGCCCAAACAAAAAGGATACTGAGTTAATATTTGCTGTGGTAGTAGTTGAGAGTCATCCTCAACAAATACTCTGAGCAGTATCACATCTCATGAGCTCTCACAAAATCACATGACTTCAAAAAAGAAGTTATTTAAGAGATTTCACCAAAAATAACTCATTATTGCCTGCTACAGAAAGCGAAGCAGCAATATTGTTTTTTTCTGAGCGTTCAGTTGTTTGCAGTGTTAGCAAAAAAAAAAAAAAACATCTTAAAATGTGCAGCTTGATTCAGCTGATTATTCAGATTTATGTACTTCTTGACCCAAGGATCATTGGTTAAAAACACAATACAGTTTTAGTACTTTTTTATTTGTCTAAACACAAAACATGTACTCAGTGTTGTATAAAGAACCACAAAGTGATACTTGAGTAAAAGTACAAGTATCTTACCAAAAAATTACTTTGGTAAAAGTTAAAGTCTCCTTTAGGAATATTACTTTAGTAAAAGTATTAAAGTTTCTGATATTTTTTGTACTTAAGTATTAAAAGTAAAATTATTGATTTAAAATGAGCGGTTAGATTTTATGTAATGACATTTATTAGGAGGTGAGCTCCACAAAAGAAATGCAGAAATGACAGTATTGTATTAAAATAACTAATGTATGCTAAATTTAGGATGCACTAGTCTGTTTCAGTTTATATCAAAGCTGCCCAAACCTTTTTTTCAAAGTAAAAATATATCCGAGGGCTGCGGCTAAATGCAATAATATAATTCATGAAATAGAAATACTTCTTAAGTACAGTCCTTTTATTTTAATGATTATGTCCTGCTGGAGTGTGACATGATTTGTTTGTGTACAAACTAATATGGCACCATAATTTTATATATTTACACTTCTCATTCAACCACAGCTAAATTCACTCTATCTAGGAGGCACAATTTATATGGACAGTATTTATTTTTTACAATAACAAGCTGGAATGAAAACAAGCAAATATTAAGTAAAAGTAACAACTTTCTACTTCTCGCCTTTTTTTAAAATGTAGTGAGTAGAAAGTACAGATAACTGTGTGYAAATGTAAGAAGTAGAATTAAAAGGTAGACTGAAAAATAATTACTCAAGTAAAGTACTGATACCCAAAAATTCTACTTAAGTACAGTAACAAAGTATTTGTTCTTAGTTACTTTACAACTCTGCATTTACTATATAAATTAACAGTTGTTGACACAAATGTGTAAACTRATGTTWAGAAAAAAAATCACTTTTCCAGATAAAAGTCTGAAAAATTCAGACTTTTAAGTCAAAAATATATTTTTAAAAAATGATTCAATTCTAGATGTCGCCTATGTTAATGTGAAGATTTGGAGAGCCAAAGCCAGATGATGAGAAGAAAATAAAGAAAAGCAGCAGAATGTGGCAGAATCAGTGGAAATCTCTTGAAGTGGTCGGGGCTGATGGTGGAGGGCTGAGGAGTTGTCCAAACCTCTGGAAGAGCTCAGTTTTACTGGGAGAAGCA